TCTGCTGCTAGATTCTATGAAGTTAAATCTCTATTGCCTGATGGTGAGACAGAAGTAGAGATATTGATAAATACTATTGGGGGAAAACAGCCCACAGGCCAGCAAAGAGGTAGCAGTACAGGATCAGTTGCAGATAACCAAACTTTCCTGTACCTCATGAATATAAACTTGAGAGAACCTCCATGTCCTGCCTACAAGGATTTAATGAAGATCCACAAAGAATCAAGTGAACTATTGAGAAATGAGATCCAGTAGACACCAATAGTATTCAGATTCATACACCAGGCAGAGAGTCAGATTAGTGCCTCAGTCACTTGCAATGAAGGGGCCAGAGGTACACTACTGGAATTTTTAAAAATTTCCATTTATACCAGAAGGAGGAAGTTAAAAACTCTTTGACTAGTGCTTTTGCCTCCAGTCTCTAACTGGAGACCATGGAATCTATATCTGGAATCCATGGAAGTCTTACAGCTGAATCTGTTGGTAATGGATATGTATCAGAATTATTAATAGCCACAGGCTTGTTCAGACAACATGCACTTTGCCTATAGAATGTATATCTGTGCTCCCAAACCAAACAACATCACTAGCCATCTTCGATCTCTGAAGTGAAATCAGCATTGTTATAATACGGTGAAATCCATTTTTTTTGCCTTAAGACAAATCAAACACCAAATAGAAAGAACAGATTAGCACCTCACCTATCTGATCTATCCATTTTCATTTCTCAAAGATCACCTATGAAAAGCCTATCCTTTGGCAATATGGATAGTTCTCATGAGTTTTGTTATGTTAGATACAAAATATGTAGCAGTCGGGGTGAAAGTTAATCAGACAATAGGGAGTAGAAAGGATCCTCAAATGTCGTCTCCAGGCTCTAATTCACTGGCTCCAATTCTTGGGGTCCTACTTTAGAGTCCTTGAAAGTACTGAGGGCTGTTTTAGTGAATCGGAGACAGACTGGCAATAGTTATAGTGAAATTCAATGCTGGCCTCTCTGCCAATATTTGAAGGATTAGAACATTATGCAGTTCTACTGGAACACGTAATAACACAAGAAATATTTGCATACCTTCTACTTAACAGAGCATCCTCCAACAGGTAGTGTGTTCAGAGTGAATGCTTTATGATTTGCTTGTTTATTTGAAGAAAACGATGCTGATTGACTTCTGAAAGCTTCAGGCTACTATTTTTCATGGTTGCAGGATTTAAACATTATCAGACCTGCCTCTCTTCTGATCAGCAAGCACACAGATCCTGGGCTCAGTACAAGTGAGGAAATGAGTGTCTGCCCTTATAATGTATTTCCCTTTATGATGATAATTGCCGTGTTCTTTTCAGCAAACCTCCAGTTTTGCCAGTAGTCAGCCTACCCTTTTATCAGGCTATACATTTCCACTGGCAACACAGCCTGATTAGGATTTCTTAGGGCTGACAAGACACAAGATTAGGGGTTGCTTGCGAGCATCATGTCACTACAGAACAGCTAAGTAGCACTGGCACAAATAGCTTTCATTTGGATGGAGTACGAAGAGTAGTTTCCTATATTCTGTCATTAAATCTTAGTGAAAAAGATGATGTATGCACAGTAAAACCGTTGAGCTTTATAATTCATTGTTCACAAATATTTCTGTCCCTTACTTGGATCTTGGGTGGGGACCAGGATGTTGTTGAGAGGAGATCAGTTTGGAACTGAAAAAGACACTCTTTCTAGACTTGCTTGCCATGTGGTAAGCAGCTTGCCTGGTTCAGTAGGCCTCTTCTGAAATATCTTCATGGTACAGTGTGGTCTAAGAGTCCACTGGATAAAATACTTTCCAGTTGGTGTAGTCTTATCCTTCATTCTTATCCTCCATTATCCTCTGCATCGGTCATATAGTCAGTCATTCACTTTTTCACATTTTTCTTCTAATTTTAACCACAATTTTCTATTGTGATGCAACATAAATACAGTTGTAACTTATCTAAACACCTTAAATCTGTAGCACCGATTTTCTTTTAAAATCTATCATGCGAGGTGGGCACATTTGGCAAGACCAGCATTTGTTGCTCTTCCTTAAATACCCTTGAGAAGGTGGTGGTGAGCTGCCTTCTTGAACCACTGCAGTCTACATGCTGTAGTTAGTCCAACAATGCCATTTGGGAGGGAATTCCAGGATTTTGGCCAAATGACAGTGAAGGAACAGCAATATATTTCCAAGTCAGGGTGGTGGGGTACATCCACAGCATTGTCAGGATGGCAGTTTCAGCATTTTGATCCAGCAGTAGTTACATGACAGCAATGTTGTTCCAAATCAGGGGGGCTAATGGCTTTTAGGGCATCTTGCAGCTGGTAGTGTTCCCACGCATCTGCTGCCCTTGACCTGCTCGGTGATAGAAGTTGTGGGTTTGAAAGATGCTGTTGAAGGAACCCTTGGGTTATTGCAGTGCATCATGCATGTAGCACACACTGCTGCCACTTTGCATCACTGGTGGAGGGAGCAAATATCAGAGATGATGGATGGGTTTCAAATAACTGGGCTGCTTTATCCCAAATGTTATTAAACTTCTTGATTGATGTTAGAGCTGCACTCATTGAGGCAAGAGAAGAGTATTTCCATGCACTCTTGATTTATGCTTGTGGGTGGTTGTCAGACTTTGGAAGACAGAAGGTGAATTACTCACCTCAGAATCCCCAACATCTGATCTGCTCTAGTAGCTACAATAATTTACATGGTTAATCCATTTTGGGTTAATGGTAATCTCAAGGGTGTTGGTAGGAGGAGATTCAGTGAGGGTAATGCCTTAGAACATGAAGGGTGATTGTTGGATTCTCTTTTTTTGATGATGATTATTACCTGACATTTGCGTGATGCAAATGTTACTTGCCATTTATTGGCACAAGCCAAATACTGCTGTATAGAAGGGACTGATTCATATCTGCACATCTTTGGACAGTGGGAGGAAACTGGAACACTTGGCGGAAACTCATGCAGACATGGGGAGAACATGCAAACACCACATAGACAGTTGCCCAAGGGTGGAATCGAACCCAGGTCCCTGGCTCTGTGAGAGAATAGTGCTAACCATTGAACCACCATACTGACCCGTCAGTGAATGTCACCACTTCTGACTTTATGATGGAAGGAAGATAAATTTATGAAGCAGTTGAAAGTGTTTGGGCCTAGAACAGATCTTGAGGAACTCCTGCAGAGATGTCTGGCAGTGAGATGATCGACATTCAACAACAACAACCATCCTCCTTTCGCTAGGTGTAACTGAACCGTGAAGAGATTTCCCTGATTCCCATTAGCTTCAATTTTGCTGGGGCCCCTTGATGTCACATTGAGTCAAATGATGCCTTGATGTCAAGTGCATTCACGGTCACCTCCATGTAATGCACTCTGCAGTACATGGTTTAGCACCCCTGTTATTAGATAGCATACTGTTCGAGTTAATATGGGTAAAGCCATTGAAAATCCATCAGTAATATATTAGAAGCAATATCTGTACATCTGAATATTATGTATCTGATATCCCTTTGTTTTTTGGATGTCACAATCTTATGACGCTGGGTATTTCTTGGCTGTGACTGAAACTGAGCGATAAAGTTCACACTGGCCAAAACAAGAATTAGGTTCTAAATGGTTTATGATTAATCCTCAATTAGAACAATTCCACATTAAAAAAAATTGTATCCTGCATTATATTAGTAAATCCCTGCTTTTTGAACAACTTGGTAGATCTGACAGCAATATTAGTGTAAAGATTGTACCTGGTGTATGTCAGCTGGAAACATACAGCAAGCACTTGGTCTGATTGAAAATCATAACAACTTGAAGCCTGAAATTTACAAGCAGTTTTGTGTCGTGAAATTGATCTAGTCAATTTATAAGTGGCTACAGTTGCACCAGTCAGATTAGCAGTTAAGTTTAACAACCAAACGTGGACCCAAAAGAACCTGAGAGCAATACCGTAGAGATGTGGTCGTCTGAATGAATGAAATGACCTTCACCTTTGGCATTGCTTTATAACAAAATCACTTGCCTCTCCGTTGCCCTGTGTTCCTGATCTGGCATGAGAAATTTACACCTAGAAAAAGTTTTTTTTTAAAAAAATCTGCAAAATTTAACGTTGCAACGTTATAAATTACTGCAACCCTAAGCATATGTGAGCTGAAATAAAAAAAAAGAGTTGGGGTGGGGGTGTAAAGACAAGACGATCTAATTCTCCGGCTGACTAAATCTGTTGTTATTAAACACACACGTTCCCTGTAAACTTGCTGTTGGAATTCCGTGCAGCCAAATCTTTCATTTTCACAATCCTACCGAGTCTCCTCAGTCAGCTTCCACGTACCTACCTGCTGTACCATATCCGCGCAGAGACAGAGACATTCTCCCACTACTCGATGTGATACTCCAGGTTGATGCGATAGAGAAAAATAAATATCAAACCGTAACAAGCAATGTCAGAGCCGGGGGTTAGGGGTTAATTTCACATCATGGTTCTTCCTTCCGTGCCGATCGCTGGTTAATGCAAGCCCCCGATCTGATAGCTGCTTTCCCCACGAGAAAACAATTATTTGATTTGGAAATTAAAGCGCACGGAAATTGCTTCCAATCAAACTTACCCGGGGCAGTGTTCAAAGCGTGAGGAGGATGTGCATCCCTGGGAACGGAGGCATATTTACAAACTGAGGAAAGAGCTAGGCTTTCGGGCTTCTGGTACTGATCACGGACTATTGGAAACGATGCAGTCAAATTGAAACCCACAGCCAAGCGTGCAGCATGATGTGATGCACTAAAACCCTTTTCCAATCCCCGATAGTACTGAATGAGGAGCAGAACACAGTTTGACTTTTGCCAACAAACAATTGAAACGAAGAAAGCATTAGCAAACCGACGTATATTCGGATTCACGGTTTATACCAGACTGAATTTGCATTCAAAGGGCAATGAACTTTATGGGTTTTATGTTCGGAGACAGAGAGTTAAGACATAATGGGGAAAAAAAAATCCTACCTTAGCATAAGAGAACAAGTGTTGCTGCAAATCCTTTCTGTATTTTTCCAGGCATATTCCTGTCTGGGGATGTTGGCACACGGTGAAGTTTTCCACAGTGGGAGAAGCTGGAGAAGGGATAGAAACGGAATGAAGGCTGTACCCTTGCGGCTATATCCATCTGCAGGAATCAGTCAAAGCCCGCCGACTGCTTGTCAATAGGCAGAGCTGACTTTGCAGCTTAGTCTGAGCAGGTGAAGATCGGTGGGAATTGCATTAGCTCCTTCATAGACCTCTCCGAGCAGAACTCAACAAAAGACTTCTCTCTCCCCTTTTATTAAAACACCATTAATCAGTCAGTCATAGATACAGCAGGCCAGTGCCCCAAGAACAGTCACTCTGAGCTCAAATCAGTCCCCTTTTTTTTCTGCCACGGACTCTCCAAATGTAAAAGGAAAAACGCACACGCCCCAAGTCTACCTGCTTTCCAATAATCAAAACAAACCAGGGTCTCAATTGTCAAATCAGAAAAAGCAAACTGTTTCAGGCATTTTTCCCCCTCAGCTCTTGGAGTGGTTCCTGTCTCTTTCCGACAATCTCTGACAACTGTCTGCTGTGTGCTGAGCCCGAAGGGAAGAAACCAGCGTATATGCATCAACCATCGCGTACACATTTGATGAAGAATTAGGGACACTTAATGTGGACAAGGGGAGAATACTAAGCAGTGCACTTGGCTTGAATCCTGAACGATTCCTGGTTTTATTGTGCTTCTGAAATAGCCCGTAGTGCACAGCAGATACAAATTAGATTTTTCTTTTCATTTGCCCTAGGTTTGGCAATTTCAGCATTTTATTTTCGCAGGCAATGCTCATTTTTCCATTAGGATTTAAGAGGTTCTCAAAGGCCGAAAATAAACGTTCCAAGCTATCAGATATTTTCGCCATTTTTTTCTTTTCAGAGCTTCCGAGTGAAAATTTTTCGATAAACATTTCAATTTCAGAGTGAGCAAGGGGAAGAACCATCACATTTTTTTTGTTCTGTGAAAAGTTAGCTGTTAGCAGCCAGAACAACAGATAATTTGGTGATGGACGAGGAAATCAGGTATTGTTAGCTCTTTCATTGCTGATCAGTGACCCCTGCCGGATAATACGCATGCCGTGTGCTATGGAGTAAGGCGAATAATCAGGCTTGGGTGCGATTTACCACCAGCCCCTTTCTCTTGGTCAAACTGTCCACTCCCTGGCTTCATGCATGGCGGTTGGTCACTTGGGCAAACGACTTCGAATCTCTATTGCTGTGATTGGATCCACATTCAAACAGCGCTGTTTTGGGAAGAGTACAGAGAAAAATAAAATTTATGTTTGCAAGGAGCCAACGTGGAGTTATTATTAAAAGCAGGTGCACGTTTGCTCCTTATCGAAATAATCACAACCAAAATAAAGGTATTATTTGTAACTTCAAGAATGGGCTTTACTGATTGTACACAAAGCAGTGGATCAAACAAAAAATAACGTTTTTTTACATCAATCTGATTTCTAAAAAAATGAAGCAAAATAAAAATGCAGGCAGACAAGTGGTCACAACCGAAAGATGTATGCGAGATTGCATGCAAAATGGAATCCTGAATGGATAACCTGTGGACATGGAGCATGAGACTTGGAGACCACTATTAGGTAGCTTAATTGAGCCACAAAACTTAAAGCGTCCGTTGCAGGATTTAGCAGACCCATCAGAAAAATATCCTGTAATATATCCAATATATCTCAGCCTTTAAAGAACCGGATATCTTAAACCACCAAGATTCCAGATGGATTCATGCTGGACCAGTAGAAAAGTCAAAATCGTCAGCTGAGGATAGAACTGAAATGTATTGATGTATAATATTTAAAGTTCATTTGAGATTTAAAAAGTTATAGTTTTATACTAAATTTATCTCCAGATACTTCCAAGTCATCCAAATCAAAAGTTTGTGGATATGTGCTAATGCAGCATTAACTAAAAAATATCAAAATACATTCATGTTCAAGTGCATCAAAGTGGAATTCCAGTCGAAACTGGGTGTCAATAAATAGTGCACATTCACAAAAAAGTGCGAAAATGTTGTACTTGCCGTCAGGCCAGCAACAGACCTGAAACTCTGTAAGATAAATGGCTGACAGCAGCAGGATTTTACTGTCTATTTTAATAGAAGCATTAGTAGCTGGAATACCTGCTGTAAAAAATGATTAAAACTACATAGACTTATGAAGTCCTGTGGTAATGACCACACAGAGTGGATGTTATGACAACTTTAAAACTAATGACTGTCATTCATTTAAAAACTAAGTGACACTGGTAAAAATTAATTTGTACTTTGGAGATGTTGTAAAACATCAAAAAATAGAGGTGAACGGATATGGTAGTTGGAGGACAGACTGTTTGCTGGTGGAGGAGACTCAACCTAGAGGTATACTGTACAAATTATAGCCAGACCTTTTGGGAGTTAAATTAAGGAAAACTTAAGGACAACACACAAAGGGTGGTAAACATTTGAGACCCTCTTCTGGCAATTGATGCCAGATCAAATGTAAATTATAAATCTGGGAGAAAGGTACATTTTCAAAAAGGTGTTTTATAGAGTTAGGTCACAACTTCACCCATGATTTCATTAAATGGTAGACCAGACTCCAGTAAATAAGTAGCTTGCTAATATTTTAATGTTCCTCAGATCATTGATTTTAATTCTGCAGTAGGGTTTATTTTGTGCCTCCAATATTACAGCCAGAAATATCTGCAATCAACACGGTTTTTTAAGCCAGTCCATTGAATTGGTTACCAAGATTACTATCGTACGTGTCCTTCAAGGTACCATTTATTATGTGCAGGCCCATGTCCTTTTAAGCTCTGTTTTATATTGAGGTCTAACTATAAGTAATCAGCTAATAATTGGAAATGCTCAAAATCAAAAAACATGTCTACTTTGGTCAGACTTCTCTTCTATATAGTAATCTGAACATGACAAGAAGATTATGAACTTGAAGGTATTATTACTGAAGATCTGACACAAATGTACCAAATAAGTGAAGAAATGCTAACCTTTAGTGCAGACACCAACAAGCAGTGCACAGGTCTCTTGAAGATAAGTATTAGGTGCCTGGATCAATCTGTTGGTGCATTTCAGTTTGTCACAGTGAGTGTCACCTGGATTATGCTGAACTGCTGCGAGAAGCATAACCTGGCACTACAGAGTGGTGAGGCTGTGACCACTGACAATAGAAATACATGAGGGACTACACAGAGACTATAATTACATAGGTGCAAGGGAGTTAAGGATTATTAAGGATGAGATTGCGAAGTACTTGAAAGTAAATGGTAAAATAGGGCTGAGTCAGCACGGCTTCATCATGGAGAGATCATGCCTCACAAATCTGTTAGAATTCTTTGAGGATGTAATGAGCAAGTTAGACAAAGGAGAGCCAGTAAATGTGATCTTTTTGGATTTCCACAAGGCCTTTAACAAGGTGCCGCACAGGAGGCTGCTAAATAAGATAAGAGCCCATGGTGTTAGGGGCAAAGTACTGGCACAGATAGAGGACTGGCTGACTAGCAGAAGGCAGAGAGTGGGGATAAAGAGGTCTTTTTCAGGATGGCAGCCGGTGACTAGTGGAGCTTCCAGGGGTCAGTGTTGGGATCACAACTATTCACATTACACATTAACAACCTGAATACAGGAACTAAGGGCATTGTTGCTGTACTTGCAGATGATAAAAAATAGGTGGAGGAACAGGTAAAGTTTAGGAAGTGGGGAGGCTGCAGAAGGATTTGGACTGGCTGCGAGAGTGGACAAAGAAATGACAGATGGAATATAACATGAGAAAGTGTGAGATTTTGCATTTTGATAGGAAGAATAGAGATACAGACTATTTTCTAAATTGGGTAAAGCTTCAGAAATTTGACCCACAAAGGGATTTAGGAATCTAGTTCAGGATTCTCTTAAGGTAAAAATGAAGGTTTATTTGGCATTTAGGAAGGCATATGCAATGTTAGTATTCATTTTGAGAGAGCTAGAATACAAGAGCAGGGCTGCACATCTGAGGCTGTATAAGGTTCAAGACCACATTTGGAATATTGTGAGCAGTTTTGAGCCTCGTATCTAAGGAAGGATGTGCTGGCCTTGGAGGGGATACAGAGGAGGTTTACAAGAATGAATTTGGGGATGAAAAGCTTGTCATATGAGGAGTGATTGGGAACTCCAGGTCTGTAGTCCATGGAGTTTAGAAAGATGGGGATGGATCTGGCTGAAACTTAAAGAATACTGAGAGGCCTTGATAGATTGGATGTGGAAAAGATGTTTCCACTCATTGGAGAGACTAAGACCTGAGGGTACAGTCTCAAAGTGAACGGACATACCTATAGAACTGAGATGAAGAGGAATTTCTTCAGCCAGAGGAGGTGAATCTGTCAAATTCATTGCCACAGAAGGCTGTGGAAGTGAAGTCAGGGAGTATATTTAAGGCAGAGATAGATAGGCTGTTGATTGATAATGGGATCAAAGATAATGTGGAAAAGGCAGGAGATCGGGGTTGAGAAACCTATCAGCTATAATCGAATGGCAAGACAGACCCAGTTGGCCGAATGGCCTAATTCTGCTCCTATAACTATGGTGTTATGGCCTTTAGAATTTTGAGAGATGCTACAAAAAAGACTCATGACACAGCATCTAGTTTCAGTCCTGCCAGGGTCTCTCAGCTCCTGACCTCATTCCAGCTTTAATTCAAGCACAGATAAAGGAGCTGAAATCCACATGTGAGGTGAGAGCGGCTTCCCCTGGCATCAAGGCCACCTTCGACCAGGTGTTGCATCAAAGAGCCCAACAAAACTGGAATCAATGGAAATCAGCAGGGGAAGGGGTACACTGTACCTTTGTTGGAATCATACCTGGCACATAGAAAGATGGTCGTGGTTGTTGGAGGTTAATCATCTCAGCTCCAGGATGTCTCTGCAGGAGTTCCTCAGGGTAGTGCCCTAGGCCCAACCATCTTCAGCTGCTTTATCAATGATCTTCCCTTCATCATAAGTCAGGAGTGGGGTTGTTCGCTGATGATGACACAATGTTCAACATCATTTGTGTGCATCAGATACTGAACAGTCCATACCCAAATGCAGCAAGATCTGGATATTATCCAGGCTTGGATTGACAAGTAGTAAGCAACATTTGTGCCAGTCAAGTGCTAGGGAATGACCATTTCCAGCAGAAAAGCAAATAACCACTACATGTTGATGTTGAATAGCATTACTATCACTGAATCTTCCTTTATCAACATCTTGGGGGGGATTACCATTGACCAGAAAATGAACTGGACTAGCCATATAAACACTATGGCGACAAGAACAGGACTGAGGGCTAGGAAATCTGCAATGAGTAACTCACCACCTGATTCCCAAAACCTGTTCACCATCTACAAAGCATAAATCAGGAATGAGATGGTATACTTTCCACTTGCCTCAAAGAGTGCAGCTTCAACAACATTCAAGAAGCTTAACATCATCCAGGATAAAGAGACCTACTTGGTCGATACTGTATCCACAAACATTCACTCCCTCCACCACTGATACTTAATGGCAGCAGTGTGTACCATCTACAAGACTGTGAAATGACTAAAGTTCCTTCTATAGCACCTTCCAAATCCACAGTCACTAACATCTTGAAGGACAATGGCAGCTGAGAACACCACCATCTGCAAGTTCATCTCTAAGCCACTCATTTGTCTGAAATATATCATTGTTCCTTCAGTG